TGGACGACGTAGCCCTCCTGGACGGGCAGCCGCAGCTCGGCCGAGGTTCGGTTTGTGCTCAGCACCTGCAGGCCCCCCTGGCCGCTAGTCCTGTAGAACACCTGGAAGGCGCCCACACACACTCATGTTGCCCACGTTTGCATTTCTCGTGGGACTCACTGCTCTGGCCTGTGCCTGTCATCTCTACCCGCCCAGCTTAAGTCCCATCCTCAGCTCGCTCTCTCTCCACGGTCGTTGCCCGGGGTTCGCACGTGGCAGAGCCATCAACCACAGCGTCTGGGAGGGTTAGGGTCACCCGGAGAGCTGAGCGGGAAGGTGTCCGGGTGGGGACAGGCCCCCTGCCCTGACCGTGGACACACACGGAGGACCAGAGCCAATGCTTCTCATTGTGTTTTCTTAAATATGTTCGTTGCTGTTGGTCCTCACCCGGGGGTATTTTCCCATCGCTTTTTAGAGAGGGTGGAAGGCAGGGGGAGAGATACACAGAGAGAGAGACATCGATGTGAGAGAAGACATATCGATGGGTGGCCTCCTGCACATGCCCTGACCAGGGCTGGGCACTGACCAAGGCCTGGGAATCTAACCTGCAAACAATGTACGTGCCCTTGATCGGAACCGAACCATGGATGGGCCACAGCTCTAACCACTGAGCCAAACCTAAGGCTCAAATATGATTTGCTGATATTTTTGAGAGAGGAAGGGAGAGGGATAGAAACACAATGAGAGAGAGGAACATTGATCAGCTGCCTCCTACACGCCCCCTACTGGGGATTGAGCCAGAAAACCCCGCACATGCCCTGACCAGGAATTGAGCTGTGACCTCCTGGTTCATTGGTCAACGCTCAACCACTGAGCCACACCAGCCAGGCAGTTTTCATTGTTTTTGAAGTCGTCGATAGGTAGCATCAGAAGCAGCAAACTAACATAAACAATTTACAAACATTTTGTCCCAAACCCCATGAGCAGAATTATTTCACTTTCATTGTATTTAAGGAGTCAGACATTTTGGGAACAAGCCTTTTTCATAAAAGGCTTGACACGTGCATGACATCATTAGCTGTAGTCAGAGGTCATACCTCCCTCACGGAGGAAATTGCCCAGCTCCCTGGAAAGCCCTGGTGGGAGCCAAGACCACCACAAACCCTGCCACTCACCTTGTACCCCGTCACTTCCGACTCGTTCTCCATGGCTCTGACCTGCTCCCAGCTCAGAAACACCTTGGCGTCCGTAGCGTTCCAGACCACGTTTCCCGGCGGCTGGCTGGGCGCTGGAAGTGAGAGTGAGGGGTTAACAGGGACCGAGCTCGGAGGGAACTGCCCCCGGGCAGAGAAGGCAGCGGACCAGCATCTACTGCGGGGGAGGCACAGCGTGTGGGCGGAGCCAGAAAACCTCAAGTGCAAAGCGGACAGAACCAGTCAACACTCGTTTCTCAGGTGGGCACACATGTCGTCATCAGTGCAGCCACAAACCCACGACCCCTGGTTACAGGGGGGCCAGGCCCCACCCTCCATCATCCGGCCCCAGAGCCAGGATCTGCGAAGAGCCAAGGAGGACGCCATGCAGGGGGGGAGACGCCCACTTTCCCAGCGTGTCTGGTTGGGAGAAATAACCTGGAGGTGCCGATGGAATCGCTGCTGCCCTGAGGAGGGACCTGGGGGAGAACAAGGCCACCTCGGAACAGACCCTGATGATGGGACCATCTCGTCTGTCCACACACTCAGGGCACCACCTGCTCCGAGGACCCTGGGGACAGAGCTCTGGGGACAGTGGCGATGGAAGCGGGCAGTCTCTGCTCGAGGGGCCCACGCTCCAGCCAGCGCAGGGTGGAGAGACGGCGGTAACGCAGGCGGGTGCTGCGCTGGGTCAGAGCCAGGAGGGTGGCAGGAGTGTCGGGAGTCTCCACAGAAGGGTGAGGGCCATACTTCCTAGCTGGGGGCGCCCATGGTGGCGCTGTGGCGACATTGGAGCAAAGGCCGAGAGGGCACGGGAACTTGCCACATGGGCACCAGGACACAGCGCTCCCTGGGCAGAGGGCAGGGCCTGCGGGAGTGGAGGAGGCCCGGGTGGTAGGAAGTGAGCCAAGGACTGCCGCCGGCCTGGTGGGCATTTTGGGGACCTGGTCTGTGTGCAGGGGGTGCGAGGCCAGGGCCCGCTTCTGTAGATTTCAGCCACCAATCGAGATGTAATGAGTGGCTCCCAGGGCCACGCCGGGCACAGGGCTGGGTGAACAGACAGCCAGCGAGTCATCAAAGCCCTCGGTTTAGTTCTTGACGCCCAAAGCATGCCGCTAATTGTCTCCCTGGCGATAACCACAAAAGCCTTACCAAAACCCGCAAGTAGGATTTGCAGCTAAAGCCACTTCAAAGGTTAGGACGACAGTGAAGGAGCTATAATACTGCAAACAGCTTTAAGAGATTCTGTTTCATGGGTATCGTGGTATGTTTGAAAAATGACTGACACGAAATTTAAAAACTAGCCATGTTCTTTTTATACAATGTTAGGATGATTAGAGATTTTTACTAGTAGAAATATATTTATTTTTTTATTGATTTCAGAGAGGAAGGAAGAGAGATAGAAACATCAATGATGAGAATCATTGATCGGCGGCCTCCTACACGCCCCATACTGGTGGGGATCAAGCCCGCACCCCGGGCATGTGCCCTGACCAGGAATCGAACAGTGACCTAGTTCATAGGTTGACCCTCAACCACTGAGCCATGCCGGCTGGGCTAGAGATTTCAGTTATCTCTATATTTCCCACTCAATGCGGGAACGTGTCCATGGTAACAGCCACGGCCAACAGGCAGATGCCTGATGAACTGTGGAATTTCCAGAGATTTTGTTCCATTGGTGGAACTTCCATCATTGCACAGCGCGTGTGCACAGCAGCGCTGCCTGTCTCAGATCACCCCTCCCAGGTCCTGGGCACAGGGTAGAGTCCCAGTAACCCGGTGTTGAATGAGACACGAATATCCGTGTCAATGGAAAGGGCACCCAGAGGACAGGGCCGGGTATGGGTGGCTGTCCCACTCCTTCCTCTGTGATCTGGGGACAGTCAGGGGCTGCGTACGCCTTGGCGCCCTCTCTCTAAGTTGAGAATTAGGGAATTCAATGCTTGAGATGTTCACAGAACAGTGGAAGCACCAGCCGTTAAAATCAGAATTGTGCCTGGCCGGTGTGGCTCAGTGGTTGAGCGTCGACCTATGAACCGCGAGGTCACGGTTCAGGGCACATGCCCGGGTTTCGGGCTCGATCCTCAGTAGGGGGTGTGCAGGAGGCAGCTGATCAATGATACTCTCACCATTGATGTTTCTATCCCTCCCTTCCTCTCTGAAATCAATAAAAATATATTTAAAAAATGAAAAAATCATAATCGCTATCATTGTTTCCTGCAATTTGCACATTACATTGGGTATTCATGTACCATCTCTCAATCATGAAGGGTTTTGCTTATTTTTATTTTTTCAGTCACCCTAGGTTTTATTTTTATAAACTTAACTTTATTATTGAAAATATTACAGTGGTTTCTGCTTCTTTTTAAAAATTTACTTCTCTCCTATGCATGGCCGCCATATTCCTACTGATTTATAACCAGCCCCCTCCTCCAGCTGGGTCAGTTCACCGAGTCCCTCGCTGGTCCCAGGATGGTGTCTCGTGGGTTTTGCAACCACCATCTCCTA